CTCCGAGTCTGGGCCATTATGGCTAAAATCCATTTAAAAAGCTCCTCTCCCTCCAAGAATCCACCTACCCTCCTTTGGAAGCGATCTGTACTAAAAGGGCCACAGGTGAGGCACAGCACCTTAGAAAGAAAGCAAAGGAGGGTTGCCCTTCACTTCCCAGCATGGGAACTCCTGGCTCGCTCATCAGCATATGCAGGTGCCCGCCGCTCGCAGCCCTTTGACGGCCTGAGAGGGGACAAACCAAAAAAGACCTTTGACTGGTCTCCTGCAGGCAAGACTTGCTCACGCCAGGCGAACAGCTGAATAGAGATTTGCTTGCAAGGCTTTCTGATGCCAGTCTGGCTGCGTTGGTGCAGTCTAAAGGTTGTGTCTCATCCTGAGGGACTGGCACGCCTTTACCAGCCCCTCACTAGTCTTTCTAGGCAGGGGCCCCCTCAGCTCTCAAGCTCTCGCCAGAGGCTGGGTTGAAAAGTGGAGAAGGTGGCTTCCTTGTTGGAGGTGGCAAGAAGAGCAGCCCAGAACGACTAAAACCCCTCTCGCTTCCCACTGGGAGGCCAGGTGGGCTTCCTGGAACTGCACGCTCCTCCTGCAAGGACTGTGATGGGGAGGGGTCAACTTGACCCAGTGCCCAATCCCAGGAGGGGATCAGGAAGCGAAAGGGCAGAGCAGAAACCGGCCCTTGTGTGACTCTGAGCAGTGGCAGCGAGCTCCGCATCACCCTCAGGCTGCAGCGGTGCTGGGAGCCTGGCTGCTTCCTCCGCTTGGGGCTGGCCGTGTTTCATCCACTTGGGCACGCAGGTCTGTTTTGAAGGAAATGCACTTCGAAGTGGGAGCTTGTTCCTGAACTTCCCAGATCGTAAACATCCCTCTGACCCCTCACCCGCTCGCCTTTCAGCACTGTCCTGGGGAAGCCTTCGGGAGGAGGGGGGCAAGGGTGGGGGTTTCCGTTCCCCAGTGCTGCCCTCTGGCCCTGGGCGGGCACCTGGGCGTCATTTGGTGGGTGGGGGCATGCCCCGGGTCCCGTTCTGGCCCCTTTTCTCTTGCCCAGTGGGAGTTCCTTGGTCCCCAAAGGAGGTGATTGCCTGTGGGGGTCCTGGGCCAAGCGGCCACGATCCGACCTGGCAGAAGGGCGGGAGAAGAGGGGCAGCCCCAAAGGAGGCAAATTCTCAACCCAGGGACAGGCTGGGCCCCCAAGAGCCGCAGTTCCTGGCTGGAGCAGGGGACAGGGTGGGCTCTTTTCCCAATTCCAGCAGCCCTGTCTGCGGCCACCCCCTGGGTGGGGCCTGGGGCTCCAGGAGGAAAGGACGGCTGAGGCTGGAGGGAGGGAGGGCAATTGCCTCCTGCAGAGCTCCATCCTTGGAAGCGTCAGGAAGGCCCCCCCAAGCAGAGTTTTTTTGCTCAGTGTTTTCACTCTGGGGGGGGCTATTCCTGGAAGCTTCCCTGCTCCTGCTGCTGCCACTGCTGCAGGGGAGGCGGCCCAGGGCTCCCTTCCTCACCGAGCAGAG